GCTGATTTATGCTTAACTTGTCATCCAAATCCGCCTGTGGGGGGACATACCCGACCTGAGCATGGTCACGAGAACGCCATGGGGGGGGGGGCGCTGGCCCGGGGACCATCCCGCGCCCGCCCCGAGCGTGCGGAGGACGGCGGCGCCACCAGGGCGCGAGCGCGCAGCGAGGCGGCAGCGAACGGCGAGGCGTGCGCGGTGAGACGACGGGAGCACACCTCCTCCTCCTCCTCCTCCTCCTCCTCCTCCTCCTCCTCCTCCTCCTCCTCCTCCCCCTCCTCCTCCTCCTCCTCCTCCTCCTCCTCCTTCTCCGTAGCCATTTTGGCTCAAGGCTCATGCTTTTGCGGGCTGGGCCCGTATTGGCTTCCACGGATACCGCTAGTCCGCGGCAGTGCCAGAGCGCTTGCGCTCGACAGCGTTCCGCCTACACCGAGGGGTTGGGCTCCCTCATCAGTTTTGTCGCCACGGCCGGGCTGCCTGGCTGCGGTACGGTCATCACTGCCTTTGTCTCTCGTTCGGTGCGGGCATCATGGCGCCGCCGAAGGGTGCTGCGGCAAGAGACAGGGCAGCACGGGCCAAGCGATGGGTGTGCAGGCACTGCACACACGAGAAAACTGGCGAGCCTTGGCACAATCATGCAGATGTTGCTTCTTGATTCTTGTGTGGTGGGGCCAAGGGACGCGTCTACAAGTGCGATCTACCTTCTCCTACGCCCAGTGTTCGTGCTCCTGCTGCTGGGGGCAATGCACGGGCGGCGCTGGATGCTAAGGATAAGGAGTTGGCGGCCCTTCGGAAGCAGGTGCAGCAGCTGTCTCGGACCAGGCCGACCGAGAACGTGCAGCAATCGCCTCCGCAGTCTGATGCAGCCACCACTAAGGACGGCGCCCAGGGCAAGCAGCAGGAGCTGGATGCGCTGGAGCAGGTTGTGGCCTCCCTCGAGCTGGCGGCCAAAGTCAAAGGCGTTGCCCCGCAGACGGTCATTGGCTACGAGGAAGCTCAAACATCTCTTCGAAAGTTGCGGCAGGAGATCCACGATGCTAAGCCGTTGGGTGCGCAGGTGCATGGCATTGGCAATAAGATTCATAAGGCAGATCAGCAGATTGCGAAGCTCAAGGCCACCATCGAGTTGGAGGAGCAGGCCATTGCTGAGAAGCAAACTGTGGTGGTTGATCTCAAGCAGCAGCTGGAGACCAAAGAAAAGGCTCGGGTGCAGATGCAGAGGGAGCAGATGGAGTTGCTGCGGACTCGTACACCTGAGCAGGTCACCCAAGCTCCTGAAGGCAGCGACCAGGCGGTCTTCGACACTTTCACGGCCAGTCTGGAGCAGCTGCAGAGCCTGGTTCAGTCCCTTGGTGGCGGCGCGCAGTTGGCTGCCAGCTGCGCCCAGTTCGTGGAGCCCTGGCTTGAGCAGGTTCGGAAGCAGCGAACCGAACAGCAAGAGCAGCTTCGCGCGCAGCAGCAGCAGCCACAGCAGCAGCAGCGACCTTCTGAGCCGCCACAGCAGCAAGCTGAGCAGCCTGCTCGGCCCCAGCATGTTGACATGCCTGTACCTGAAGACATGGACCTCGAAGAGCTTCGGACCTTTGTGGCTGATGCTGGGCTGGAAGCTAGCGCTGATGAGACGGAGCTGCGTGCCCAGGCCAAGCGCCAGCTGGACTCGTGTCAGAAGCTGCTGGCCAAGAAGCTCAAGGTCGCTGCTTAGGCCTGTGCTCCTGATTGCTACTATCGGCGCAATGGCAGCAGATTCCCATACCTTCGATTTCGGCGACGACTTTGAGCAGGTGGGTGCCGACCCTGGCTTCGACCAGGATGATTTCTTCGGGCTCTACGAGCAGGATGCTAGAGCGTTTGGAGGACCTGCTGATGCAGATGGTGGCAGCGAACGCCTACGTGCGGATCCTGGTGCGCTGCCAGATGCTTTTGTCCTTGCACATTTTGATGGCGGAGGGCATCAGGCGTCAGATCGCAAATCCTGGGTTGCCTGTGGCAGCCCAGGTTCGCAGTCGCGCCTGCGTCCATCACCCCCCACGGCACCCCTTCCACAGGAGGCGGGGGACTCAGCGTGTGGGGGCGGGGGCGCAGGGTTTTGCTGGACTCCTCTTTCTCACGGCGAGGTCGCGGGCAGTGGCGCGACGTGGGGCAGCAGTCCAGGACACCTCCATCCAGCTCGGATGCCTGCACCACCTGACCCAGTGCAGGACTACCAGGACATGCGCCAGAACTTACGCGACTGGGCGGCCCTTTGGTTTGACAGCCACGCACAGATTCCACGGGATGGACGTCCTTGGGTCGAGTGGCGCACTGCCTTTTTATCCGCCTTGATCGGCCGTGATGCCAATATTCCTTTGCGCCAGTTGCTCTTGACTTGGTTTCCTGGAAGGGGCCTTCAAGATATATTTGATGAATTATGTTCTTCGGCATGGCGGCAAACTGAGGGACGTCGAGATGCCTGGTTCATGCGCCTCGCTGGTCGTGGGCCTGGCGCCGCTCATAGGCTTGAGCACAGACATTGGAGAGCTCTCGCCGAGATCCGAGCGATGTTCCGTCGAGTGTTGGGCGATCAGGCCCCAGACGTCAGGAATTCACCACCTGATCGACGACCTAATTCAGGTGATGACCAAGCGGGCGACCCTCTGGGCTCGGTTATCGCGCAGCTGGTGGCGCTGTCTTTCAGGCCGACAGCTTCCACTTCAGCTACACCTACGCCTGCATCTACCAGTTCTTGGAGTGGGTCAGCGGCCATGCTGGTGGATATCATGACACCTCCGACGGGTGCGACCAGCACTGGGATCTCTAATATAGGATCCAGGCCACATGCCTTGCTGGAATCCAGCCCGAGTCGCCGCGAGCCCCGTCAGAACGCGTCTGGGCAGGTTATCCCTGGGGCTCTGGGCCTCTGCTCGCCTCAGGCTGACGCCGAGCGGAGGGAGGTCTCTTGGGGTGGCCTTTCGGCCTCTTCGGCTCGTGCCACCGCTGGCCCCCCTGTGCCTGTCGACGGGTCGCAGAGGCCTGACGGGTCCCAGTGCTCACATCCTACCTTAAGTGGCATAGGGTCGAGCCATGCGGAGCCCAATCTTCCATTGGCTCCGACTGGGAAGGCCCGACGCCAAGCCGACGACAGAGCCAAGCGCAGCATGCACTCGCTCAAGGGTCAGGTTGCGACGGCCAACGTTTGCTCGCATGGCTCCCTCTTCGAGTACATGCCAGGCATTGGCGACGACGTGAAGGTGCTGCTAGTTCAAGAGCACCACTTGCTGCCCGAGCGCCTCCAGCAGGCACAGTCTCAGGCTCGTGATATTGGTTGGCATGGGATATGGGCTGCTGCGACGCCGAGTACTGCCTCGGCGACGGGCTCGACTGCAGGTGTTGCGATTCTGGTTCGCACGGACGTGATGATCACCGCCCCTATCTTGGCCGAGAGGGAGGTCGTCACTGGAAGATGTCTGTTTGCGCATATTCACTGGGGTGTGCCTGGCGGTTTCACAGCTGGCAGCATCTACCTCGATACGAAGGATGGCATGGGCCCAGTCAACACGGCCTACCTGTGGGAGATGGCCAAGGCACTCGCGAGGTTCAACAGCGAGGGGGTGGACTGGCTCATTGGTGGGGACTGGAATAACCAGCCTGCTGAGCTCTTCTCGTCCAGCTGGGCTTCTGCAGCCTCGGCCATACCCTTCTGCCCAAAGGTGCCGACGTGTAGGCAGGCCAATCCTGGGACTGTACTTGATTACTTGCTGGTTTCTTCAAACTTGGCAGCACGAGTAGACTCCCATGTTCGGGTGGATGAAGAGGCGACTTTATACCCTCATTGTCCAGTGCATCTGCAGGTGCTGGGACAGGACTACCCGCTATGGAGGCTCGTGCCGAAGTTGCCCAAGGAACGACCACTACAGGCCCCTACTGGATGCTCGAGGTTCCCATACTATTGGGAGGCCACCAGCTTCGAGGTGGCCGACGACGCTGAAGGGCTTGCTGCTTGTATGGGCGACTTGATGATTGGGGTCGAAAGGGAGCTCACCAACCGCTACGACTATGTGGGGCCTGCTGCGCTGCGCTATTCAGGCCGAGCGGGGGCGACTTCCTTCACGTGGCGGAAGGTTGCCTGGCAGCCACCCCTCAAGCGCACCTACAAGCGCCCTCAGACCTTGGCCTGGAAGGTGGTACTCCGATGGTTTATGCACATTCAGAAGGAGCGCCACAGACTTCGTACGTTGGTCACCAGGCTTCAGATGGCCCGCGTTCTTTGTGATATTGATCCGCCCCAGTGCGCAGTCCTACTTCAGGCTTTCAGTGAAGTTGGTGGGTTTCTTCGTAACATTATGCGCAGCCAAGTGGTGCTCCACCAGATGCCTGAGAATGCGCAGGCCTTCCTGAACTCTGGGGTGCAGGTTTTGGTCGCACCTGGATTCGAGGACCTCCTGCGCTCGGTCGGGAACGAGGCCACTCGGCTGCGCAAGGAGGACCAGCGTGAATCCTACCGAGCTTGGATGCAGTTCCAGCGTAAGGCCTCTCAGTCAGGGGCCTCTATTGCTCACCGCGTCACCAAGGTGCGGCCGCTGGAGCAGGTTGTCGCATGCCAGCGACGCCCTGCAGATGCTCAGCCACAGGCTCTGGCGAATCGGGACATGAGGACTTGGGTTGATGTATGGACTCATCATGGCTGCCTACCAGTCCAGCCTCCTCTTGAGGCCGCAGAGTGGCCATGTCTTCCGAAGCTGAACGCCGGCACTTTGAGGGGGGTGATACTGACATTCCCTAGAAAAACCTCGACGGGGCCCTGTGCACTACACCCACGCTTGCTGTGGCACCTGTCAGATGAGTCCCTTGAGATGCTGGGCAGTTTCTTTGCAAGGTGCGAGCAACTGCTCGCATGGCCTGCAGATCGGCTCTGGTCGATGATGTGTCGTATCCCCAAGGCTGATGAGGGACATCGCCTGATTGCGGTGGTCCACACTTTCCAGCGCATTTGGGGCAGGGCTCGACGTGGCATCTCTCGGCAGTGGGAGCAGCAGCATCGCACGGACAATGTGTGGGGCAACAGGTCCCGCTACACTTCGTCGGACAGCGCTTTCAGCCACAACCTGGACTCGGAGGTGGCTGTGCTGAGGGGCCAGTTCAGTGCGACGGTCCTACTGGATCTCACGAAGGCATTCGACATGGTGCGGCCGTCGCAACTGTTTCGCGAGGGCTGCTTGCTTGGCTATCCGCCGAGGATGCTGTACATGTTGCTCAAGATGTACGCCCAGCCGAGGAGCCTCAAGGGGTACGGCACTTTCTCCGACATGGTGCAGGTGGACCAAGGCATTCTGGCTGGATGCACGCATGCCGTCTGTATGCGTGAGTGCCTCACGTTACGTGCCATCCTACGCTTGCGTGACAACTACGCTGGAGTTGTGCCACGGGCTCTTGTTGATGATGTTTCGGTCCAGTACGTTGGGCCTGACCCAAAGGGCCTACTTGCGCTTGATTTGGCTGTGAGAATATTTCAGGAGGACTCGAGAGTGCTTGGTTCTTGCTTTAATGACAAGAAGTCGGGACTGGTTGCCGCGACGGCGGATTCTCGTCAGATTCTGCGAGGCTCTAAGTTTGCACATCGGCCGTGGATGCGTAACCTCGGCCACGGGACTTTCGGCATTCGCCCTGTTCGGTTGCAAGAGAAGGCCCGCTCTCGTGATCTCCAGAAGCGACGTCATCGTCTCCATCTGTTTCGCCAAGTTGCTGGTCGTAAGAACTCAGTGATCTGGCGGGCAGGAGCACAACCAGCTGTGGCTCATGGTGCAGGCGTTTCGGGCATGACCGACTCAGCTCTTGTCACGGCCAGGTCTGTCGCTGCTACCATGGTGGGGGCACCGCCGAGAGCGCACAAGACGGCCTATTTGTACTGTCAGTGGCAGGTGCGTTACGATCCGATTTTTGATGCGACGACGGCGCTGTTGTGTCGGCGTCATTGCTTTATCTGGGATGCACGTGTGTCCCTCAGTGCGCTTCGACATGCATGGTTGAGTTTGGCAGAGCGTGTTAACGACAAAGGGCTGACCTGGGCGGCGGTCCGCGGCCCACTGAGTGCTGCCTGGCTCACACTTAACAGAATTGGCTGGGCATTTCTTGGACCTCATCACTGGCGTAGCGACCAAGGTGAGGACTTTGATCTTCTACGAGTGGCACCAGCCGACATGAAGGTATTTCTGGAAGAATCGATCAAGCGGTGGCAGGTGCAGCGGCTGGCTTATCACTTGCCTGTGCAGGAGGCGTCTCACGATGTCTGGGAACGAGCTCTTCGACTTGGGCTTCGTGACTTGAGGCAGGCGCCGCTTGGAGCGCTGAGGGCACTGTGGGCTGATCGGTACCCCACTGCTGCCCGCCTCGCTGCAGGGGGAAAAGATGTGAAGGTGCACTGTGCAGCCTGTCAGTCAGATGATGGATCTTTCGGGCATGTTTGGCATGAATGTCCCAGCTTGTTGCAGCCCGATGAGAGCGAGGAGGCTTCTGGTGTTGAGGTTTTGTGTGAGCGACGCGCTTCTCATCGGGATGCTCTGCGAGCTCTTGGACACCGCCCCCCGCTCGATCCTGAGTATGACAGACTATATGTTAGCTATGGTTTTCCGAAGCTCTCGATCCAGCTTCCATCCCCGCCTGAATCTTCGGTGGTCTGGGAGTGGGGTGACGTTGGGGGTGGGTGGGGGCCTGTTACTTTCGGGGATGGAAGCGCACAGCACCCCGCCGTGCCTGAAGTTAGGCGCGCAGGGTGGGCCATAGTTCAGCTCAACGATGCGCTCCTCCCTGTCCGTGCGGTGTTTGGATCCCTGGAGGGTGCTGTCCAGACCGTGGGCAGAGCGGAGAGAACTGCGCTCCTGCATGCCATGAGGCGTAATCCCAGCTTGGAGGTTTTTGTTTCGGATTTGCTTTATCTGGTTCAGGAAGGCTTGTCTTGGGACCCTGAATTGGCGTGCGGAATGAACAGATACGCTGCCATTTGGAGGAGTGTCTTTGAGTTGGCGCAGCGTAGGCCCGCCCAGGACCCTCCCCCTCACTTCGTCTGGACCCCTGCTCACCTCTCTCTTGAGGAAGTCCTGGAGCGAAAGCTGGACCCGATAACCTGGATCGGGAATGCTTGGGCCGACCTGTTTGCCAAGCTAGCGTCGACAAGGGTCATGATAGCTAGAACGACGGCCGAGGCGGTCGCAGGCGAACTCAAGTTTCATCGTGCTACCATCGATTATATTTCCTGGGCTGCTGCCAGGCTCGCTCGACTCCGACGGTGGACCTCGCTGCCGCCGCCGTCGAGAGTGTGTCGACCCCGGCCTGCGCCGCAGCTCAGCTTGCATGGTCATTCTTTTTTCCTTGACCCTGATACAGGTGAGGTGAGATGTATCCCATGTTTTGTCGGGGCCTGGACCTGCAGCACCTTGGCGCATCTGCGTAACGGCCCCTCCAAGTTTTGCCGACCCTCGGCCCTTTCAGCCCTCAAGGGGCAAGAGTGGTTGCGGGTGCGAAATCGAGCGCGGCCTGTGAAGGCCGCGGCTGTGGTCGAAGCGGACCAGGCCCTTGTGGCTGAGGGTCTGCTGCCGCCCCCTCCTCCCCTGGAAACCCTTCGGGAAACGAGAGAGAGGTGGCCATCTGTGATTTTGAGTCGAGAGGTCACACGATTGAGAAGTATGATCGTGTGATGATTTGCTCCATCTGTGCTGGCTTTGCGTTGCTCCCGCATGGTGTTCCTCGTGCTCTGATGGCCAAGTGTCAGGGCGCATCCAAGGTTCCATCAACCAGGGACAAGCAGTTGCGGAAGCTTTCCAAGGCCTCCAGAGGCCTGCACCCTTCTACGGGTGAGGTCCTATCCTGTGCGCAGGGCCCCTCTCCCTTCTCGCCTATGTCCTCCCCTCGGGCGAATCCCTCCACGTCATCCATGGTGGCCAGAGCCCCCCGATTTGAGGAGGCCGCCACTGCCGATGGTGGGGGGGTGGGGAGGTCGGGCGGAGCGGGCGGGGGGGGGGTGTCGGGTGACTCTGACTAACTCGTCTTGTTCTTTGGCGTCGGCGCTGCTGCCGTCGCCCGCCGCCGCCGCTGGCGGCCACCTCCTGTACGCGAAGTACAGCAAGCTCGCGCCAGGCGCGCCCTGCTGTCTCCCGCGTGCCTTCCTTTCCTAGCCTAGGGTTGTTCGTTCCCGAGGACGACCCTTTCTGCCGGCGCCCACCACCTCCTCCTCCTCCTCCTCCTCCTCCTCCTCCTCCTCCTCCTCCTCCTCCTCCCCTCCTCCTCCTCCTCCTCCCCCTCCTCCTCCTCCTCCTCCTCCTCCTCCTCCTCCTCCTCCTCCTCCTCCTCCTCCTCCTCCTCCTCCTCCTCCCCTCCTCCTCCTCCTCCTCCTCCTCCCCCTCCCCCTCCCGCGCGCTGGCCCTCGCGCCGCCGCGCGCTGGCGCCCCAGCCCGTGCCCCGCAGGAGAGGGGGGGCGACGGGGGGGGAGGGGGGGAGGGCGGAGGAGGAGCAGCGGCGCAGCGGCGAGGCCGATGATGGGGGGGGGAAGGGGGAGGGGAGGGGGGGGGCGAGGAGGGGAGGAGGGGGGCGAGGAGGGGAGGGGAGGAAGGGGGAGGAGGAGGGGGGGCGAGGAGGAGGATGAGGAGGAGGAGGAGGAGGAGGGGCGGGAGGGGAGGGAGCGGCTGGCAAGGGCAGACGGGGGGCGGGCAGGGGCCGTCGTCGTCGGCTGCGCGCAGTCGGCAGTCGCCGAGCGTCAGGCGGGGGCGGGGTCGACGTAAGTCGGGCCTGTCCATCTACAGGAGGGATATGCAAAAAATAGTAAATCTGATGTTCTGGGGGCGGTCTGTCGATAATTGTTAGCTCACTGTTGCATATTTTTTTCTGTTGTTTTCAAGCTTTCGCCCCAAATCCACCTGCAGGGGGATATGCCCGACCTAAGGGTCGACGGGGGGACGGGGTCGGGGAAGGGGGGGCCTCCCGGGGCTCTGGGCAGGCAGTTCACACGGCGTCCAGCGTGGAGGCTGCCGTGGCGGCCGCCAGGCGTGCGGTCCTGGCTTAGCAGCACTCCCACACGAATTCAGGAGCGGTGTGATCTGGCTCTGGAAATCCTGCTCCGTGCTCCTGCTTCTGTTCGGTGGCCCTACTTGAAGACGGTCGCTGGGCTGTTTTCCGAGCAGAAGCAATCGCCCTTGACGAAGCATCGCGTGAGTTTTGCAGCTCTTCTGGCACTGTAAAGCTGACAGCCAAAAGCCGAAACCTAGGTTTCTTGCGCTTCATGAAAGACAGAAGGAGGACAACGGGCCGCATGCACGTAACCGAGAAGCGCTGGAGCTGTGTATTTGGCTGTCACCGCCGCCCAGGCAGCATCGCCCACCACTTGCGATGCCCTCAACTCACTCACCTCGTGTGCCTTCCTCGTGCGGTGGTTCCTACGTGTCCTCTCATCCGTCTCGGGCTCGGCCTGCCAGATCATAATCCAGCATTCGATTCAACTCGTGAAACAGCTGTGCTGGCTACATCCCTGTGCTGTTTATATGTTCCTCCTAGCCTAGAAAATGGTCAGTCGACAGCATGGGAAGCCTCTCGATTTAAGCCAATCCCTCGTGGCCCTGAAAGCGGCGCCCACGAAAATGCCGGACACTTACCACTTACTCGATTATTACACCTCCGCCTACCGCGCCTAGGCCATATAGTTGGCTCAGGCCGAGGCGTCGAGGCTGAGCTTGACAGACTCGGGAAGACACTGGCGCCCCCTCTCCTCCTCCTCACCCTTCCTTTCCTCCCTCTCCTCCTCTTTTCTGTTTACGTTGGGAAAACGTCAGCGACAAGGCTGTTGCGTTCTTGTGCCTCCCCCTCCTCCGCCTCCTCGTCCTCTCTCCTCTTCATCCTCATCATCATAATCTTCATCATTACCACCACCACCATCATCATCCCCATCATCATCATCACCATCATCAACAGCATCACCAGCATCAGCATCATCACCATCATCATCCTCATAACCATCACCACCACCATACTCATCACCATCACAATCATCATCATCATCATCAACAACATCATCATCATGATCACCATCATCATCAGCATCAGCATCATCATCATCATCATCAACAGCAGCAGCAGCAACACCATCATCCTCATCACCATTACCATCATCATCGTCATCATCATCACCATCATCAGCAGCAGCAGCACCATCATGCTAATCACCATTACCATCACCATCATCATCAGCAGCAGCATCATCACCATCATCATCATCATCATCTCCATCATAATAACCACCATCATACTTCATCCCTTCTCCTTCACTGGGGGCGTCTCGTCCACCCTCTTCTAACTCACGCCCCCCCCCCGCCCCTGCCAGGAGCTCTGCCGCCGGGCGCTGGCGGGGCAGCGCGAGGCTCTGGGACCCGGCCACCCGGACGCGCTGGTGATCGCGGGGGGGAGCTCGCGACGCTCGGGCAGCGCCAAGGGAGCACACCATGATGGGCCTGTTTTCCACCACCACCATCAGAAGCTGGAGGGGGGGAGGAGGAGGGGGAGGAGGAGGAGGAGGAGGAGGAGGAGGAGGAGGAGGAGGAGGAGGAGGAGGAGGAGGAGGAGAGGAAACTTGTGTGGTGGTGGTGGTGGGGGTGGTGCAAAACAGGCCCATCACACTAGGGCTTGTCGCCAGCTCGTCCTGACGATTCAGGTTCGAGGACCGCGGCCCGATCCTTTTGCGAACGAGCTCGAGCGTTTGGGGCGGCCTGGCTGGAGCTGGCGGGGGGGTCCTGAGTGGCACTCCTTCCCGAGTCGTCTGGGGTGATTCTGGGGAGGGAGGCGGACTGAGGGTTGGAGGAGGGAGGAGGCATGAGATCGGTGGGGGGGGGAGGCGAAGGAGGAGGAGGAGGAGGAGGAAGAGGAGGAGAAGGCACGAGGGATAAGAAGTAGGGAAAGGCACGAGGTATAAGAAATGGGGGATGACACGCTAGGCAAGAGGGGTGACGGGGGAGGGAGGAGGAGAAGGCAGGAACCCCCGATTAGAGGAAGCGGCGGGTGAAAGGAGGAGTCCCCAGTGCTGCATATCTGACATCCTTTCCAACTGTATGCCCCCAACCCCCAGTGCTGCCAAATTCCCTTCATGGACCTGGCTATTTCCTGCTCCTCCTCTCGCTTCTCTTCCTTCCTCCGCCTCCTACTTTTGCTCCTCCTGCCCCCTCCTTACTGGCCTCCTTGGAGAGATGCCTGACGACGACGACCGTCACCAGAGCACGACGACAGGCCCCATTAT